GGCAAGAGCACAGAGTGGGTTGCCATTCCCTCCTCCGGGGAATCTTCCCAGCTCAGGGATCAAACCCATGTCTCTTTTGTCTCCTGCATTGCAGGCAGATTCTTTACCACCGAGCCACCAGGGAAATCCAATAATGCTATGATATATGTGCAAATATTATTTACAGTTTATAAATGAGGGAGCAAGTACAAAGATGCCATTTATACTTCTGAAAGAAACCTCTCCTGATTTTTCTTACATGATCTAATTGTTTTCTTCATGAAACTTCAACAGTTTTTCTACCACTTTGTTTATGTAGAGTAGTTCTCAGTGTACTTGTCTGAATCAGGATGCTGGTCTATGAGATTCTTAAGAGCAAAAGCCAAATCTTAATAATCTTTTTATCCATCACATTACTTCTTGCTCGACAGAAGCTTAAGAACTGTTTCTTACATTAGCTTGAACTGACTCCTTAGCCCTCGAAGTCCTAAGTCCTAGACTAGCTGTTGAGACTGTCCCAGGACTCAAGATTTACTGGGCATAGAAGGGGTTTGTTTTCTTTTTTAGTCGCTAAGTCACGTCTGACTCTTTGGAACCCCATAGATTGTAGCACACGAGGTTCCTCTGTCCATTGGATTTCCCAGGCAAAAATACTGAGGTGGGTTGCCATTTCCTCCTCTAGGGGATCTTCTAGACCCAGGGATCAAACCTCATCTCTGCGTCTACTGCATTACAGATGGATTCTTTACTGCTATACCGAGCTAACTTCAACTGACTCTTTGGCTGTGGTTTCTGCATGCTACACATGGGGTTGTAAAGAGTCGAACACAACTGAGTGACTAACACACACCACAAGTATATCTTTGATAAATGAAGAGAATTTCAGGAAAGTGTTTGGAGTCTAATATCATACTTTAATGGCCACAATGGAAATCATGCATAAATTACAGACTAAGGCTTTAGAAATGTCCAGAAACCTGCTCACTTTCCCCAGCTAATAAAATGCAGAGTCAAGGTTTGAATTCAGGTCTTTCAAAACTAACTCTGCTTTTCACAGTTGTTATACTTGACTGTTAAAGGATTACAGTACTGAAACCCAGCCCTGAGCTCACTGACAAATAAAGAGAATTGGTACTCCCAGGGCTCTGTCTTCTATTTTTTAACAGTTCTTTACTCAGAATATATCTGAACCAGGTTCCTGCTTTCTTTAGTCCTTGGCTTTGGCAATGTGCAAAGACATTTAAAATTAATTAAATTGATTCTTATCTTCGAACTGCTCCTGGATAATGCATTGGTAGTTGCCAAAGAAGCCTCACCAAAGGCATGTTAATGGTACATTAGCCTTCCATTGTCCTTTTTTTCGGGTCTCATATTCTAGGCCTTCCATTTCCAAGAACAATAATTATGGCTTTATTATCATGACAGAAAAGGAAGCAAAATATTCCATCCTCCCAGGGAGATGGAATCCGCATCAGGCTCTAGTGACAACAGTACAGGCTTTGCTCTCTGTCTGAGAGCTTTTCTGAGACAATGGTGAGACTTTTGTTCTTGGATGTGTTGAATTCATGGTCACATGTTATGACTGTTAGGATGCTACCTTCCACAGTGATTGATGGGAGTCTGGGTTACTGCAGTTATGCAAGATGAAAGGCAAATGACAAATCCCAAAAAGCTGGTGAACACAAGTTTATTTTATTTTGTGCCAAAGTGCTTTCGTATCATTATGCAGAAAAATAAAAATCTATTGTTTGCCTTAATTTGAAAGATTTCTTCATTATAAACATCCTTGAGGTATTGCAGAACTATTTTGGTATTTCGTGTTACCTTGTTTAGTTCTTCCAACTGTAAAATAAGACTAGGATCCTTCATTGAGGCAGGAGATAAATGGTCTGGTGGCTAGGATTCCCGGTTTTCATCCAAGCTTCCCAGGTTCAATTCCTGGACAGGAAATTAAGATCTCACTTCATGCCACCACTCACTGCTGCCTCACTGAGATTATTATGTGATAAAGTGGAAACATCAAAGCTTGGTGACTTAAGGACATTTCTTTCCAAAATCAAGATGGTGACAGTTGTGTTTCCTTTTTATTTAATTTTTTGAAATATAGTTGATTTATAATATTGTGTTAGCTTTAGGGGTACAGAAAAGTGATTCAGTTATTCATCTTAGATTATATTTCATTATGGGTTATTATAAGATATTGAATATAATTCCTTGTGCTATACTGTAAACTCTTCTTTCTTATCTATTTTAAAAAAAGTTCCCTCCGATTGCTCTCAGGGTCTTTGGGGTGGTCCTCACCCTAAGCAATGCCGCCCGCTCCTCTCCGTTCCGCCCCGCTTGTTGCTGGCGGGTATGGGCGTCTGGGGTACTTTTCTGCTGGGAGTTGCTTTTAGGCACGTAATCTGTGGGCCTTGTTTAATTTTTCCTCCCAGTTAGAATGCAGAAAATTTCCCCCAGTCCCGCCAGTGAGAGGGTTTCCTGGTGATTGGAAACTTCCTCTATTAAGACTCCCTTCCCGGGACGGGTCTCCGTCCGTAGCTCTTTTGACTCCCTTATTATTGTTTATATTTTGTCCTACCTCCCTTCGAAGACAATGGGCTGCTTTTCTGGGTGCCTGATGTCCTCTGCTAGCGATCAGAAGTTGTTTTGTGAAATTTGCTCAGCATTCAAATGTTCTTTCGATGAATTTGTAGGAGAGAAAGTGGTCTCTCCGTCCTATTCCTCCGCCATCTTGGCTCCTCCCCCTCTTATCTATTTTATGTATAGGAATTTTATCTATTGGCTTCCCAGCATGTGCTAGTGGTAAAGAATCTGCCTGACAATGCAGGAGATGCAAGAGATGTGGGTTCAGTCTGTGGGGCAGGAAGATCCTCTGGAGAAGGAAATGGTAACCCACTCCAGTAATCTTGCCTAGAAAATTCCATGGACAGAGGATCCTGGTGGGTCAAAGTCCACGGGGTTGCAAAGAATTGGACACTATTGAGCGACTGAGAATAATTTTATCTGTTAATCCCATACTTCTAATTCATCCCTTCCTTTCTCCCTCTTCCCTTAGGTAATCATGTTTGATTTTATATCTGTGAGTCTGTGTCTGTTTTGTATGCAAGTTCATTTGTATTATTTTTAGATTCCATGTGTAATGAGTGACGTCATATATATTTATTTTTATCTGACTTACTTCCCTATAGCAAGTCCAAATCTGAAAGTCTTCCTTTGAGTTGAGCTGGAAACACCAACAGTGCAGTGAGTAGCTGGAGATGGGAATACATTAGCACAAAGAAGAAGCCCGACTTGATTGATACCACCCAGAAGAGCAATGGAGGAATAAAAAAAGAGAACTTGAACTTTAAAGCTAGTTAAGAGCTAATTCTTCATTGAGGAGCTAGACCCATTAAATGAGGGAGCTCTAGAATCCCAGCCCCATGGGTTTCCTCTGCTAAGTCCCTATGGACCAAGAATGCTACCTGCCATATTGGTAAACAAGGGATATTATTGCCATCCGGCCAACAGCCACTGAAGCCACCGCCAAGTGTGCACCGAGGGGATTCAGGATGGAGACAATCCAGATACTGGCCCTAAATAGTAGTTAAAGTAGTAAAATATCAGTCGTTTAGTAGTGTCTAACTCTTTGCGACCCACGGACTGTAGCCCCTCAAACTCCCCTGTCCATGGGATCTTCCAGGTAAGAAAACTGGATGGACTGTAGCCCGCCAGGCTCCTCTGTTCATGGGATTCTCCAGGCAAGAATACTGGAGCAGGTGACTATTCCCTTCTCCAGGGGATCTTCCTGACCCCAGGATCAAATCCGGGTCTCCTGCATTGCAGTCAGATTCTTTATAGTCTGAGCCACCAGGCAAGCCCCTAAGTAGTTAAGGTGCATATCAAAGGAATGACTTCAGTAAGCCCAGACTCTTGCACCTTCCCATACAAAGCTCTGAATTAATTATCTTACAGATGTGTGGTTTTCTTTAATTAACAGCAATCTTTGGTGCTCTGACTACCTGGTTTTTGCTGCAAACTTGCTATCCTGTCTCCTGCCTTACATCTCTGGACCAGTTTCTCAGACCTGTCTGAGAGGCTGTATTCCAGCCTTAAGTTTTCAGAAAGTCCACTGAATAAAACGTATTTCTTAAGTTTCAGGTTTTCCTTTTTTCCCCCTAGTCAACAGTTTTGGCAACCAACAAAGGCATCTAGAGCAGACTTCCCTCCTTTGCCTGAACTGTACGAGGATCTGGAACCTAGTACTGGCACAGACAGAATCCAAGCTCTTTCTGCTCTCCACATTGCAGGCCAATAAACCTGAGATGAGGTGCTGAGAAAAGGAAGGGACTTTATTCAGAAAGCTGGCTGACTGAGAAGATGGCAGGCTAGTGCTTCAAAATAACCATTTTATTGGGGCCTGGGTGCCAGGTTCTTTTATGGATCAGAGATGGGGGGAGGTGAGAAAACAAAGTAAAAAGACTTTGTAATTCTTGCAAATATCTCCCAGAGCAACAAGTCTCGGGGAGGGGATGTGTTAGTTTCACTTCCTTACAACCCTTCACAGGTGGGTAGGGTCAGACTATCTCCCTGAGGCAGGCTATTGTGTATGCCTAAAATAACAAATTGATACTTTAGAACTGTGGTGTTGGAGAAGACTCTTGAGAGTCCCTTGAACAGCAAAGAGATCAAACCAGTCAATCCTAAAGGAAATCAGTCCTGACTATTCATTGGAAGGACTGATGCTGCAGCTGAAACTCCAATACTTTGGCTACCTGATGCGAAGAACTGACTCATTGGAAAAGACCCTGATGCTGGGAAAGATTGAAGGCAGGATGACAGAGGATGAGATGATTGGATGGCATCACCGACTCGATGGACATAAGTTTGAGCAAGCTCTGGGAGTTGGGGATGGACAGGGAAGCCTGGCGTGCTGCGGTCCATGGGGTCACAAAGAGTCAGACACGTCACAAAGAGTCAGACACGACTGAGCTACTGAACTGAACTGAACAATAACAAAAGCGGCAAGATAAGGCTTAAAGTCATAGGAGCAGATCCAGTGTGAAATCATAACTAACTCTTCCTGGTTACAGTACCAGCAGAGGTGTCTTGGCCTCGCCCACCTCCTTGGAGAGTCCCAAGGAATTGGGGTGAGTCTCTCCTGGTTCTCAAATCTTCCATTACTGGCTGATGATCCTAAGTTATATTCAGTGATGTTGAATTCCTCTCTGGAGCAGTGGGTTATCTTTGAAATTTGGTTTCAAGAAGAGACTTTTCCTCAGTTGAAAGACACTGGGGAGATTTTTGCTCAGTTTAGACACTGAGTGGGTCATCCTCAGTTGAAAGACTAGGAAGACTTTGCTCAGTTGAAAGACACTGAGTGAGGTTGGACGGAAGGATTAGGTGGAAGACTGGCCTGCCATCTTTCCTTAGATTGGCTACCTTAATAGAGTTTTTCCAACAAAATGAAGATATCTTATGAAAGCTTTCTGCTCCAACGAAAGGACATTTCCTCCCGGCCTGTTCATGGCTTTCTCAGGCAACTAAGAAATTTACAGATGTGGTGGAGGCAAGTTGCCACACTGCAGCAGTCACAAAAGGGAACCCACTCATTTTAATTAAAAGCTTGGTCTGCCAGAGACATGCCCGAGAACTGGACACTCCATGATCTGAGCACCCGTGGTGGTCTTATACTACCAGAGGGAAGCTAGGAATAATGTGTAAGACCTGTAACGGGCTGACAGTGACAAGGGTAAAACCTAGGGGAGTTTTACCCTAGAGAAACTGAGCTCACAAACAGCACATTGGCCCACTAGCAATTTTATTTTGACAAACCAACTTCGTAATGACAAATAAAGCTTTCGAGACAAAAGAAAAAGGAATGACAGATTACCAGCCTCCAGCTAACACCCCAGCCGGGTTCATTCAGTACATGTGGAAATTATACTTGCAAATGCTTACTTGATTGGGGAAACTATACTAAAGGAGATCTGAACCTAGAATGACCAAATTGGGGCTGTTTTGATATTTCAAAGCTATTTTTTTTTGTACACAGGAAAAACCTCCTTGATGGAATACCTTTTCAGAATTCTAACCTTAAGGAAACAAAAGCCCTTCTAGGGAGAACTCGCATTTTTCCTCCTGTGCCTTTGAAACATAAATATTCTGCCTGATGTTTGAGCTTTGTGTGTGTGTCTGTTTTGAGAAATTGACCTCTGCATCCAGAAGGTATACTTTTGGTGTCTATTGAATAGACTGGAATTCTGAGCAGTCTTTTGTCTGACTGTGTCAACTCTCAGCAGCTTTTTCCTGTTTTAAACTTTGTTGTGTCATCCTATACAACAAAGGCCTTTGTTTACTTTCTTAGATTATTTTTGGAAGTAAACTTTCTGGGTCTTGCGTAGGTGGCATCCTTCACACACTTTTGTGGGAATGCCTCTTGTCTTATTGGTCTGAGTCACTATTAAGATATGTTTCATTGTGCTTAGTTGCTCAGTCGGGTATGACTCTTTGCCACCCCACAGACTGTAGCCCTCCAGGCTCCTCTGTCCATGGATTTTTCCAGATAAGAATACGGAAACAGGTTGTCATTTCCTCCACCAGGGGATCTTCCCAACCCACGTCTCTTGCTTTTTCTGCATTGGCAGGCAGATTCTTTACCACTAGCACTACCTGGGAAGCTCATATTTCATTAAAAACCTAATGATTGATCTTTTTTATTTAGACAGAATTGTGCTTTATCTTCTAAATACATCTGTTTTTTTCCCCACCTTAAACTTTTTATTTTATATTGGAGTGTAACCAGTTAGATCTTCCCTGTTAACTCAGCTGGTAAAGAATCTGCCTGCAATGCAGGAGACTTTGGTTGGATTCCTGGAGCAGGAAGATCGCCTGGAGACGAGATAGGCTACCCACTCCATATTCTTGGGCTTCCCTGGTGGTTTAGTTGGTAAAGAATCCACCTGCAACAGGGAGAGCTGGATTTGATCCCTGGGTTGGGAAGATCCCCTGGAGGAGGGAATGGCAACCCACTGCAGTATTCTTGCCTGGAGAATCTCCATGGACAGAAGAACCAGGTGGGCTGCAGTCCATGGAGTTGCAAATGACTGAGCGACTAAGCACAGCACATAGCCAGTTAACAATGTTGTGATAGTTTCAAGTGAATAGCAAACGGATTCAGTCATACTCCCCCAAACTCCCCTCCCATTCAGGCTGCCACATAGCATAGTGCAGAATTTCCTGCGCTGTACAGTAGGCCCTTGCTGGTTATCCATTTTATATAGAGAAGAGTGAACGTGCCAATCCTAAACTCCCTATCTCTTCCTCTCATTATAAATACATCTTAAATCCACTTACATCTCTTTCTCTCCTCCAGCCACACCCTCACTCAAGTCACATTGTCTGTATGTGTCATCTAGTGGCCACTTTTACTTCCTCCTTGCTGGCTCAGTTGGTAAAGAATCCACCTAAGATTCAATTTGCAACGCAGGAGAACTCGGTTCGATTCCTGGCTTGGAAAGATGCCTTGGAGAAGGAGATGGCACCTACTCCAGTATCCTTGCCTGGAAAATTGCATTGACAGAGAAACCTGATGGGCTATAGTCCATGGGGTCACCAAAGATTTGGACATGACTTAGCGACTTGTGGATATAGTCCCCAATTCATTCCCTCTTCTGCGTCCAGAGTTAGAAGAGTGTCAGAGAAGGTGGGGTTGGCAGCTTGGGTGGCTGGGCTGGGTGAAGAGAAGATAAACATGCCCTGAGAGTGATGTCTCAGAGGTCACTCCAGGCGTCCCTGCCCAGAGAAGTCACATGTTTCTCTTTTGCTTGGTACTTGTTTGGCAAAGGGGTTTTATTTAGTACAAAGAGGCAGACTGGACTCATTACCCCCAGACAGTGATTCTGTTCCAGAACAGGGAGAGAGAGCCAGCGTGTATGCCCAGAAAATGCGAGAGCTGTCTGGGCTATATGTGTTTGTTGACGGTTTCCTGTGAGTGACCCAGCCCATACATCAGTACATGCATCCATGTTTTACAGATGCCACGTGGACATCAGAATTACACGCAGAACTTTTTAAAACAGTTTCTGAGTCTATATTCAGGAACTCTGATTTTGAGAACTCAGAGTGGGTTGAAACACTATTGTACCTACTATAAAAAAATAATAAACAGATATTTCAATTAAACAGTCAGGAGACCAGAAGGGGGAGCTCTCAAACTCCCATAGCAGAGCCCAACAGGAAGAAGAAAGACTCCTTTCTTCGCAAAGACTCTACCAATGAAAAGTCTTGGACTCTTTGTGTAATAGAGCCCTCCCAACTTCCTTCCCCTTCTACAAAAAGGTTCAGCTTTCCTTGATGTGCAGGGATTTGCATGTGGCTTTTCATGGTTGCACACCCTCAACTGCAATTCTTTCCTAATCCTGAAGAAACTCATTTTTTGCTGGAGAAATATCCAACAGTCTGTTTCAGGACAACACCACTAAATATTAAATCCCTTTTTCTCCCCCCACCCTTAGTCTCTGGCAACCACTGTTCTACTTCTGTCTTTATGAGAGTACTCTAGGTACCTCACGTAAGTGACATCATACATATTGTCTTTTTGTGACTGGCTTAACATAATATCCTCAAGTCTAATCCATGCTGTTGTGTATGTCAGGATTTCCTTTTCTAGGATGAATAATATTCCACTGCATGTATATCACATTTTGTTTATCCATTCATCTGTCAATAGACCTTGGGTAACTTCTGCTTTTTGACTTGTGAATAGTACTGTCATGAACATGGGTGTATACATATCGTCTTTAAGACTCTGCTTTTAATTCTTTTGGTGATCTGCGTTGGCTGTCAGCTTCCCAGGTGACTTTGGTACAAATGGCACTCAGCCTACACTTTGAGAATATGGATGTAGTGGGAAGCACCAGCTAAGTGTGGGTGTGGTGTCCCTAGGCAGTGATCTATCCCAGCATTCCTCAAGAGGGATTGTTTGAACCAGAGCATTTAATGTTGTGTCCCAAAATGAAATTGCCAGAAACTAAATTCTAATCTAGAGGCTAAGCTTTTGAAGGCAGTATTTGTCAAGCAGTTGTGAAAGTACATTGTTCACAGAATTGAGGTTATCCTCCCTCCTAGACAAGTAAAAATGTATTATTTTATTAACCAAAGATGCTTTTAGTCTGTGCTAGACCTAGTTAAGCATTTTCATATATGTCTTTCATTGATCCTCACCACAGCTCTATAAGAAGAGCATTTATTATTAATTCTCCCATTTTCCACTGTGGAGATTGAAGCTTAGAGACTGTGTATGACTTGTACTGTTCATGGGGTTCTTAAGGCAGGAATACTAAAGTGGTTTGCCATTCCCTTCTCCAGTGGACCACGTTTTGTCAGAACTCTCCACTAAGACCCATCAATCTTGGGTGGCCCTACGTGGCATGGTTCATAGTTTCACTGAGTTAGACAAGGCTGTGGCCCATGTGATCACAAAGAGTTGGACACGACTGAGCAACTCACGAAACAGATGACTTGTGCAATGTCATGCAATTGGCCTTGACTAGACTCCTGCCTCAGGGTACGCTGCACTATACTAGAACATAAATGGAATTGGAAACTGCATGCCTTTGAGCCTTACTGCTCAGGAGTTCATAGATGGAGAAAGGACGTGGACTTGATCTTGGCTGGTGAAGGCAGGGCTGCACTGGGCATGCATGACCGAGGTAGAGATGAGAGCTGCAGGGATGGCCACACACGGGGAGGAGGCCTATGGGGCTGTCCCAGGCAGAAGCAGTGAGAAGCAGAAAGAAGCAGTGGGATTCTGCCCAAGGAGGGAGTGGAGGCTTCCTGGGTAAGCAGGGGCCTCCTTGGTGTGACCACCAAGGATTGGCCAGTGTAGCTGGGTAGAGGAGCTAGTGGGAAGGGCCAGCAGGTTACAAGGTACAGTGCTCACTGCATTTGCCCTTCTTCTGTCTCATCCCTCTTTTCCTAACTTCTTCCCTTCTGTTCTTTCTTGAGGGAGAGAATAGGGGATGTCCTGCCCACCTGCTCTGGCCTGGAAAGTCACACCCCATCCTGGGCCTCGGTTTCCTACTGGGAAATCACAGAGCAGTAAACTGAATTGGTGGGTGGACACCCCTCATTTTTCATTGGCAAAATCCCTTTTGCCTCTGGTGAAGCTTCCTTCTACCTGAGATGCCAAATCATGAAAATCTCCAACTTGTTTTGAAGTATGAAAAGACCTGCTAAGACTTTTCAGCCAAGGTCCCTAGGCTGAAGATTTCAGAAAGGTCTTGGTAAAATTCTTCTGCAAGAGAGCTAAGCTGGTGACTTGACAAATGCAGAAGAACCAGGCTGTCCCAGCAAGAAATCTCCCTCCCTTCTCTCCCAACTCCCCAGTAGATCCTGTGACCAAGAAGAGGCAGGGAAGCTTCTTGACATAAGGATTCTGATGGTGTGTGCGACATTTCCTGTCTTCCCAGTGCACTTTTCCTCAATGTGTATGCTTCCCAGGGGTACTGGATGCAAGGAGGGTGTCTCCTCTGATCTATGACATTGGGACAGTGAGGAAGAAAATATTTGGGTTATGTTTTTGGAAATAACTCATGTCTTTAAGGGGCTTCCCTTGTGGATCAGCTGGTAAAGAATTCGCCTGCAATGTGGGAGACCTGGGTTCAATCTCTGGGTTGGGAAGATCCCCTGGAGGAGGGAAAGGCTACCCACTCCCATACTCTGAGCTGGATAATTCCATGGACTGTGTAGTCTATGGGTTTGCAAAGAGTTGGACACGACTGAATGACTTTCACTTTTCACTTATGCCTTAAAGAATGAGGAATTGGATTTCATATATGAGGATTCACCCGCTTCACTGATTTAGAGATTTAGCTGTTATAGGAGCCCATATCCCTAATTAAAATGCAACTCAGAACTTCCAAGTTAAGGCCCTTTCTTCTGGAGGTTCCTCTTCCAGTAAGGACTTCTCTGCCTCTTGTCTCCTGTCAGGTGACCTCTGAAATCCTGAGGTGCCAATGTAGACACAGTCCCCATGGCTCCTGTTAGCACTCCAGAGGTGGGCTAGGATTCTCAAAAGACTGCACTGAACCACAGGGAGACCTTTAGGGAGACAGCCACAAATGGCAAGGTGCATGAAGCGGTATGGATCACACAATATGGGCTTTTGTACTTGACCGTGGCTGGCAGATGCAGCCCGTGGACATGTATGTCCTCTTGATCTCACCATCTGTCTGGGCCAGTTTCCAGGCTCTTGTTCAAAATGGCTGACTCCACTCTTAGATCCCAGAAGGCCAGCAGACACAGCCCTCTCTGATGCCTCAGAGTCTTCACGGTCAAGGCCAAGAGAATTTTCTAGCCCTTCTGCCCCTTCTCTCAGCTATGGTCAGACATGATAACTGTCTTGGTGAATAATTCCACCTTTTGTGTGAGACCCCAACCATGTCTAGCATGTTGCCTGGTGCCCAATACAAGGTAAAAATACCTTAATCCTACACCCTTTGGAGGAGAGCGTGGCAACCCTTTCCCATATCCTTGCCCAGAGAATCCCATGGACAGAGGAGCCTGGCGGGCTACAGTCCACAGGGTCGCAAAGAATCAGACACGGCTGAAATGATCGAGCACACCTGCACACAGTGACTTTAAGGATCCTTAAAGCATCATCGCACATGGACTGGGACCACTGTGACCTGACATGACAGCACGCCAGGATCTTCATCAGTTCAGACTAACAAACACATCAGGTTTACTTTACCTGCAAGTGCTTTGTATCATCGTTAAAACACTACCTGTCTAATAGAGTAAATGAATTAGAGTGAGTGACCTATTTAGACCTGTTTCAGTTGAACTTTGCATGGATTTTGGCTACAGTGGTTCTTTTCTTTTTAGGAGGAATGAGAGATGAACGCCTTCTTGCAGATCAAGGTCACGTTTTCCTGCCTTCATCAACAAGTAGGTCAGATGTAAGCATAATTAGTCAGTTCCCCAGACAGGAGACTTTGGGCCTCTGAGAATCTGATTTTCAATACAGAGCCAGCTCTTCAGTCCCCATGTCCAGCCAGAATCTGTGCGGGGGCCGTGATAAGCTCTTAATTAAGTCTGTTTGCATTAGGGTGCTGGTACTTAAACTAAACAGGAGTGTGAGGGGTGGAAAATAAACCAGGTGCAGAATCAGTCTGGATTCTACTTCTGGATTTCTCTCCGAATAACCTTGGGAAAAATATGTTTACCTCTTTGAGCCCCAGTTCTGCCATCTGTCTTTTTTTTTTTTTTAATGGAAAAACAAAATACCAGTCTACTAACAATCACACTGTTTTGTAGGTAGAAACACTTCCTACAAAATACTTTAAACTAGTTCACACGTAAATGTTAGTGACTCATCGGTTCATTGTTCTTCGTGTTTTTAAAGTAAGCTGAAATACCCTAATCTCTTGGAATTTAAGGAATTGGGTGCTAGACTTGGCACTTTGTAGAGTCTCATATGGATTTCCCTGGTGGCTCAAGCAGTAAAGAATTTGCCTGCAACGCGGGAGACCTGGGTTTGATCCCTGGGTTGGAAGGATTCCCCTGTAGGAGGGCATGGCAACCCACTCCAATATTCTTGCCTGGAGAATCCCCATGGACAGAGAAGCCTGGTGGACTACAGTCCATGGCATTGCAAAGACTCGGTCATGATTGAGCAACTAAGCACAGCATACGGGGCTGAAAATAATCTTCTCAAGCAGTGGTTCTCAGTCTCTGTATGCCTTGGAATCTGCTGGTGATCTTATGAATACAGATCCCTGGGCCCCACTTTCAGAGTTTCTGAGTTAGTGGTTCTGGGGTAGGACCTGAGAATTTGCATTTCCAGCAAGGTAATGTTGATCCTACTGGCTGAGGATCATGTATTGAGAATCACTGCCGTGAGGCTTGCATTCTGTTACCTCTATCTCACTGGTGAGGGCTCTGGGACACAGAGAAACAAAACCATGTTTTCCTTTATATTTTGAACATTCTTTCTTTAAAAAAAAAAAAAAAATCCCATCCTACCACAAAATCATAATGGGATTCTCTAACACTGTCTTCTTAATATTTTATTATGGCTTTTCTTTTATAACTGTTTTGTTAACTTGGTATTGACTCTGAGTACAGTGGGAGATAGGGAATCAGTTTTATTCATTTTTCCATATAGCTATCTAAATACTCCAGCATCTGTTATTGAACCGTTCCTCTTTCTTCTCTTACCTCTCCTCTTCCTCCTCCACATTTATCTTTTTATTCTTGTCAAGGTTCAACATCTTGTAAGGCAAGTCATTGACCTTGTCCTTTCCCAAGAATGTCTAGATCTTACCCTTTTCTCTTTCCTATTTGTATTAGAGTCATTTATTTTTCAAGACCCACACACAACTCTGTAAGGATGTTAGTTGCAACTGCATTGAATCTTTGCATATATCAGGGATAATTTGGCAAGTTTACAACATTAAATCTTCTTTTCAAAGGACATTGTGTATAACTCTGAACTATCTTTCGTCATTCTTTTAGTCTGTCAACAAAATTTTATCATACTCTCCATAAGGATCCTGCATATCTTTTGTTAGATTTATTCCTAAATATTATCAACATTTTCAATTGTTATTGTTGCTATTATACAGGTACGCTTTATTTTAAACTTAAAATTTCTAGATATTTACAGTTGACTTATAGACATATAATTAAACTTATACCAAATTGTATCTTGTAAATTTGCCAAACATCAATCAATTCAAATAATGAATCATAGATTATCTTGCATTTCCAACAAAAATTATATTACCTACAAATAATACATCTTGTCTCCCTCCCCCTAGTTTTTATACCTCTTCTTTTGGTTTTTTAATTTATTTTTGTTAAGGTGCTAACTAGGCCTCCAGTAAAAGTTTGAGTAGCAGAGTTTACAGAGACTTTTCTTTGTCTTACTCCTTTTCCTTTTATCAGAGTTCTGAGGCAAGGAGTTATTTCCCCTGAAAACTTTGCTAGTGAAACTCTCCCCTTACAACCTTAGGATATGGGATAACATGGGTTTGTAAAGTAAGGGTAGACCACACCAACCTATATATGCCTTGGTTCTGAAGTCATGGCAGGTCTATTTCATTCAACCCAAATGCAGATTTAAAAGTGAATAACTGGGAAACATCTTTCTTTAAAGAAGATGGTAGTATTGAAAGTAGCAATTCTCCTGTACATGTGCATAACATTTATATAATAAAACCCTTTCTGGGGGATCCTAAGCTTCTTAACCTAGAAACATTGTGCATCCTTCCCTTCCAAGACTCATGGGAGCAGCAGGGATCAAAGCTCAATACTTCTAATAGTTTCTTTAAAAACGTTTGTCAGGAAAAGATTGAATTAATAGAGAGTCAGTGGTAAAGGTTTCACATTATCCTTAATTCTGTGGTGGCCTGTGCTCTCCATAGAGTTCACAGGTGCTGGAGATAGAAGCTAAAGGAGTAAGGGTGCAAGATTGCTGTTTGCAACTTGATGCCTGGGCCCTCTGTGGCCGAGTCTAGCTCAGCCATGTGCTTGCCTCTGCAACCCAACCAAATTTACTTGTTTCCAAATCACATGGTGATGCTGCTCAGCTTTTTCTTGGATGCCCTCAATCTGAGCCTAGGTCAGTGGCTCTCAAAGTGGTCACTTGTTGGTCTACAATGAGGTAAGTGCAGAAAGTGAGAGTAGGCATATAGATCTTTTGAATACAAATTGATATTGTTCTGGCATTTTTACTGTATTTATCAAAAGTATCAGTCCACAGGGGATGAGACATTTTAAAAATTAAAGATGCTTTGTTGCAGAGAATGTTCCCAACATTTAACTTATTGTTTTGTTGGAAGATTTAAGGAGAAAAGATCATCCCATCTTTTTTTTTTTTTTTTTTAATTTACTAATTCCCTCTGCCTGCAGCACTGACAGAAGAATTTCTTCTTGAACCTGAAGGCTCAGCTTAATATCACTCTCACATGTACATCCTCTGACTACTGTCACCAAGTCAGACTTAACTGCTTCCTTTCTGGTGCCCCCCCCCACACCTTATAACTTTATCTGCTGTTGTTTCATTCTTTGTTTTACAGATAGTTGTCTAGGTATCTGTCTGTCTTCACTACACATTAGGCTGTGAGCCATCAAAGGCAAAGATCATGTTCTGTTTCCACTTGTTAGAGAGCCTGTATCACTGGCATCTCCATCTTGAACAATGCAGTTCTGTCTTCTTTGTATCTGTCTGTACAAGGCATATGGAACATACCAAGAAAATCTTTGCAGAATAAGTGTATAACTTCCCTATATGCATTACTCATCCAATAATTAATTTGGTGTGTTGTCTCTGTCATGAACTGCTATATAAGAAGGTGAACAAGTAACTAAGACCCATTAAGTTTCTGTCTTCGTACAGTTTACAATCTAGGAGGTAGGAATGAATGAATGATAAGGTCAGTGTCCAAGGAGTATTTGAAGAAATACAAGGCTCCATGAGTAGTGAAGCTTTATCCACTCCAGCTTTATCATCTCAAGACAGCTTTGTCTTGGCTTGGCAAGACAAATCAACCAAGGACAGGCAGTCTGGCTTCCAAAGAATCAGACAGAGAGGCTGCACTGAAGGTGCTCCAGGAATAGGCTCCAGCCCCACGATCATTCATTTCAAGGCCCAGTCTTGATATAAAGAAATACTGCTTGGTAATCTTGTCGCATTGACAATACTGCGTGGGGACACCCTTATCGTCACGTCTCAGCCTCACTGTGGGAACTTACAGATTGTGCTGCCAAGAAGGATCATTTAAAAACCAACAATATGAGGGAAAGAATAGAAACAATTACTTACTCCTAAAAACCAGAGCCTCTATTTTGGATTTAATTCTCTCCCTGCCAAGCATAGAGTCCAAGATACCTAAAGTAGAGCTCTTATTTCAAAATGTTTCAAAACGATAGACTAAATTTGTCTGAACAATAGCTTGTGTAATTAAGACCAGTGGTTTCTGAGACTTCACTTTTTCTTAGGGAGCAGCACCCTTTACTGTGACAAAATCTATGTGAAAACTAAAGTTACAAACTGGATTTATTCATTCCAAAGGTATTACTTGAGCCCTGCCAAATACCAGACATGTACTAGGCACTTTTACCACTAGTAGTAAACAAAAGAGAAAAATGACTGGTTTTCAGAAAGTTTACACCCAAGGGACTTCCCTGGAGGTCCAGCAGTTAAGACTCTGTGCTTCCACTGCAGGGAACCTGGGGGTCTATCCCTGATTGGGGAACTAAGCCCCTGTATCCTGGGTGGTCTCCTCAAAACGTTCACATTCCAAGTGTGTGTGTTAGTTGTTTAGTCATGTCTATTTTTGACCCCATTGACTGTAGACTGCAAGGCTACTTTGTCCATGGAGTTCTCCAGGCAAGAATACTGGAGTGGATAGCCACTCCCTTCTGCAGGGGTCTTCCACACTCAGGGATCAAACCCGGGTCTCCTGCATTGCAGGCAGACTCTTTACCATCTGAGCCACCAGGGAAGCCTATCCAAGTGTGAGGAGAAGACAATAATAGCAACAATAACAAAAACGGGCCACATGCCATGGAAAAAATAAAGGTGGGGAGTGGACTTAGAGAATGCCAAGATTGGTGTCATATATAGGGTGATTAGGAAAGGCCTCTTTGATGAGTTAGCCTTTGAAGAGACCTAGAGCAAGTGAGGGAAGGAGCCTTTAGGATACGAGGGGGAAGAGTATTTTAAGCAAGAGAGCAAGTGCAAAGCTCCTGAGGTAGGAATATGCATGCAGAGTCCCAGGAATGGCAGGAGGTTGGTGAAGGCTGCAGCATAGGGATTAAGGAGCAAATGAGTCTGGAGAGGTAGTGAGGAGTATGAAGAATGGGCAGATTATGATTAAAAGCTGGTGCTTTATTTTTTTCTGAATCCTGCATGTGATGCAAAGCTGTTGAAGAATTTTGAGCAGAGGAGGAGAGACATAGTTAGGCTAACATTTTAAAGTGTGCCTCAGGAAGCTGCCCAGCTATGTATCTGGAGTAACTGGAAGGAAAGCAGAGTATACGGGTGCAGATGAAGATGTGATGAGGGAAGCTTGTGAAATATCTCTTCCGATTGATTCTCAGTGAATTAAGAAGGAGACTAATCCACCAAGAGCTAGTATGGGAGAAGGGTTGTTAGAGGAGAGGGGAAGGCAGAAAATAGTTTTTCAGCAGAATGGAAGGGTGAGCGAGCTAGGAAAATGAAAACTGCCAGGCAGCACAAAGTCCTGGTCATGAATTCATCATTTGCGATCCTGAATCCAAAGGGAGACCAGTCAAAAGGGCTGGGTGCTATTCTCCAGCTCCAGTTCGGTTTTGGCTGATACCCTCTTCATCCATCTGCCCTGATAACTCAGTTGGTAAAGAATCTGTCTGCAAAGCAGGAGGCCCCGGTTCGATTCCTGGATCGGGACGATTTGCCGGAGAAGGGATAGGCTACCCACTCTAGTACTCTTGGGTTTCCTTGGTGATTCAGCTGGTAAAGAATTCACGTGCAATGTGGGAGACCTGGGTTTGATCCCTGGGTTGAGAAGATCCCCTGGAGAAGGGAAAGGCTACCCACTCCAGTATTCTGGCCTGGAGAATTCCATGGAATCCATGGGGTTGCGAAGAGTCGGACACGACTGAGTGACTTTTACTTCATGTTCCTTTCTCCATCCATCTGCCATAGTCTGTTACCAGGAAGAAGGGGATGGAGTGTCTGGCTTCCCCTAAGTTACAGAAGGAAGAGCTGACTGAATGGAGGAGAAGGGGCAGGGGAGAAAGGATAATAATGAGCCCGAGTATCCGATTCTGGGTGTGGAGGGAAAGGGAACAGGAAAGGGCAAGATCAAAAAATACTTTAGGTCCGTTCAGTGGGGTCACTGAATGGAGGGGATCGATATTAGAGGTGTTTAGGAAAGTGAGGTAGAAAGGTGTACTGAAGAACCAGAGGTAGTGTCTGAAATTATGATGGGGAGGGGCTGGTGCCTTTAGTGTTACAAGGACTGATATGAGGCCATGGGAAGGGGTGAAGTGGGTAGAGGGCAGATCATAGGAGGAATCAATGTCAAGTCACTGCAAGACTCAAGAAGGACCATCTATGTGGACCCTGAAGCCACCAAGAATCTGGACAGGAGTATATAGTGTTAGAGAGAGGAGAGGAAGGGCTTTATGGGAGTCTACAGATGAATGGGGCGAGGGTAGTCTTGCCATGGGAGCTTCTAAGCCACACGAGGGCAGTTTAGGGTGGAGACAGGGACACTGGCTAGCACAGAAAACCAATTCAATCCTCACTTCTTTTCCTAACGTAATCACTGGGGCACTACCAAGAAACATTCAGGTTTACACAGAGGACTGGAATGTTTCAGATTGAAGGAGGAGCAAAACTTTGAAGCCTCAGGGTTTTAAATAAGCATTTTGGACAAACACAGTGCCTTACAAATTCCTTGTGTTCATTGGTTTGTGTTTCCCTGTCCTCAGGAATACCCTAGTCTGGGCTTATGTCTACCTAGCACTCCAAGCACCTAACCTCTGCAGTCATTTATGTGCGTGGGTGCACGTGTGTGCTCAGTCATGTCCGACTCTTTGCAGCTTCATGGACTGTAGCCCACCAGTTCTCTGTCCATGGAATTTACCAGGCAAGAATACTGGAGTGGGTTGCCATTTTCTCCTCCAGGGGATCTTCTTGACCCAGGGGTCAAACCTGCATCCCGCATTGGCAAGTGGATTCTTTACCACTGTGCCACCTGGGAAGTCCACAGCCATTTGCACACAGCTTTAAATAAGCACCCACTCCTGGTAAGGGGTTGGGACATCTTTCTGTCCACTCTCCACCCGCTACTGTAACATCTTTGGAGCCGCCATCTTTGCCTCTGTATTCTAGCCCCTTTTACCGATCTTTTGACCCTTGATTTGGGGATTGTTTATTCTCCTGGACCCAGTCTCTTCCTACTCTGTTGAAGTGGAGCAGGATGCTATGGTACTCCCCCTCCACTCCACATCCTCAGCCTGCCTTGTGTCTGTGGAAAAACTTTAGCTAAAGAATAAGTTTAATCAGAGAAGTGAGAAAATGCAGAAGCAAAAGAAAGCAGTCAAACAGGACATAATAATAATGGTTTAGTCATTAAAAGAAGTCTAGGACCTTTAGTTCCTCCTCAAGGGCTATAGAGAGTATTCTGAGCCATATCCTTTGGACTGTTTTGTAGATACTGAAACCCTCAGCAGGTGGAAGAAGTTAACTATGTGATGACCATATTGTAGCCATGACGCAAACTGCCTCATTTCCAAGACATGACCTCAAAGAAATGGGGACAAAGTGATCCTGGAACTGAAGACTAACTGTTCTTAAAACAATCAGGATGATGCTGATCAGACCAAGGCCATGACCAAATTAAAGATAACTGTCAGAGCTGACTGTGCCGTTTCTGTACATAACTCCACCTATAAAAGATCTTATCCATTGATTGTTGGGGGCAGGGTGAGTTGGCCTTTGTACATGAATCTGCTGCCTCTCTACCTCCATTGCCACACCAGCCTGCAAAATAAAGCAAGCTTTCTTTTCACCAACCTTGCCCCTGAGTATTGGCTTTAGAGCCTTGAACACTTTCAGTAACATTCTCAACTCTGAATGTTCACCTGATCTTTACGACACTCACAGTTTTGGCTTCCTCCATCAGCTATAAGCATTTTTTCAGGAGGAAGGGAGATAATGGAGCCATTTTTTCCTTAAGTAATATGATGATGTTCTAGATGGAGAACAATGCTGAAAAACTGAAACCAGATAGAAATATTACAAGTGCATAACATGAAGTGTATATGCTATGAATCATCAGTCATGGTTCTATTTCTTCTGTGACAGTGTAAAATGTGACAGCCTGTGTCAAGATAAACAATAAAAAACAAAACATGAATGTCTTGGAGAGGAAACACTGCTACCCTATCCAGATTCTTTTTTTCCCTCCTACTAATTTTGACAAGTAGTATCTCTGTCATCTGGATTCCTAGGTGGCTCAGCAGTAAAGAATCTACATACCAATGCAGGAGACACAGGAGATGTGGGTTCAATCCCTCGTCAAGAACTTTGGAGTAGGAAATGGCAACCCACTCCAACACTCTTGCCAGGATAATTCCATGGACAGAAGAGCCTGGCAGGCTAAAGTCCATGGGGTCACAAAGAGACACGGCTGAGCTAGTGAGCATGCACACATGCCTCTCTTTCATAACAATCAGGCCCATTATACTACACCTTCCCACCCACACCCCAGTCACACACCAAGGCAGAGACATCTGGGGCCAGTACCTCCCTCTCACCACCTTTCAAGTTCTTCCAACATACTAGTCAGGCTCAGGTCCTTCTGAAAGACTTTCAGATAACGCCTTCCTTTTGCTAAACACCTACTTGCATGGGTCCATGTGATTGAATGGACTTCTCTGATATATCAATTGTCTCCGAGGTTTCTGGCTGCTTCAGATACAGTACAAGCTCCTAGAGGAGGGACTAGCATCTATGAGCACCCAGAGCCTCACTGGTGCTTGGTTTGCTGACCTTGTCTGTTTTCCCACTGCATGGCTGATGCCCAGATGTTAAACAGGCAGCCTCCTGAGCAGGGAAGTTTATCCTTTGCTGAGGCAGGAGGTGGTTAAAATTGTAGCTGCTGGAGAAGTCTATGGGTTCAGCTCTTTGCTCCTCTGCTTACACATCGTGGCTCCTTAGTCTCATAACTAATATCCTTGTGTAGCATTTTTTCACCTGTAAAATGGGGGTGATGATAGTACCCACCTAACAGATGGTAGTGAGAATTCAATTGACAGTAGATGTAACATGCTTAGTGTCTGTAATAAAATAAACACTCAGCATACGTCTGCTACTGTGTTTGTTTCTTTTCCCCTGTGATCCCTAACTGGCTTCCCTCGCAGCTCAAAAGGCTTGTCAGCTTTCCCATCTGCAGTGGTAAAGTTCCATGCTGCAGTTGTGTATACTTTATTATCAATTCAAACTGTTCATAGCTCAGTCAAGCTCCTGGCTTCACTGTTGGGATTTAGATAGTCCCTTGGATGTCCTGGGCAAAAGTTATGATGATTAAAGCTGCCCTTCATGGTTCATTAAGTGGTTTCATAGCTTTATTTCCTCGATCTTCTCTCAGCACCAGGACTGCCACATACAGTTGTGGAGGTTGTGCACTGCTCAACTGCAGACTGCGCCATTCATGTTTTAATCTATATGAATGGTGCCCCCTAGAGCTCTGCACCGAACTGATTTCCACAGCCATAGCCATGAACCTGCTCACAGCTGACAGTGAGGTTGGTGTTATTATTCTCATTTTAAAAATAAGAAAATTGGGGCTCACAGGAATTAAAAAAAAGTCTAAAATACAAAGAAAAAGGTTTTACAAGAAGTTTCGGGCCTGCTTCTCACAGTCTGTGTGTTTTGTCAGCTGCCAGGAAATTACCCTGGAGAGAAGCAAACAATCAATTTCAAATGGTTTGCCTTATTGCATCTTCTTCTCCACCTCCACATTGAGAAATGGAAAATCCAATAACTAATAAAGAACACGGTAAGGTCCTTTCCCTTCATTGAAAGGATTTAATCACTGGGGTGAACTCCACAAATATTTGTGCAGTGGATGTGGGAATAAGTCAGCGAAGGCTGTTCTTCCTTGCACCAAAGCTCCTTGGGGCGTCCTGCACAGTCTTTGGGTGAGAGGACAACTCTGAGCTGGGTGGGTCTGTCTGTTGTGAAGCCCGTGTTTACCAGGCTCCTAAGAATGAAGGTGCACATGGATGATGACTATTGCATGTACAGCCTGTACATGGTCCCAGGTTCAACCTGTTTGTCAGCATTCATTGGAACATCGACTGAGTTTCAGGCAATCAACCAGGTGTCCATTTTCCAAGAGAAAGACTGACAATGTACACAGAGGTTATTTTCAGTATCCATGGCTTTGAATGATCCTCCCCTCCTTTTGCAGTTTGCCTTGGAGTGGGGTCCACCAGGGTCTTGGCAGCAGGAACTGTCTGTCATCTTTCCCCGGCGTCTGGTCTGCAGCACGGTTCCCTCCCATCCAGCCCTCATACTGTCTGCCCCAGGGGCACACCATATTCCACAATGTTTGTCAAATACTAATCACTTGGGGAAGGGGGAAATGAGCTTTTTAGCAAAGCCGCAAAGTTCTCTCCATAGTTCATAGTCTGACCCCAGTCCATAATCTGATCCCTCATTCCAGCTCCTCTCTCTTCACTTTCTCATAAACTCCTGGTGCACCAGACTGCTGGTAGCTCCCAGACTTTCTACCTCTGTTCTTGCGCTTTGCTCTGCTTGTGGAGTCCAGGTTTCTCTGCCTGAGTAGAGTTCTCGTCTCCTGAAGTGGCTCTTTCTCTCATACTTGGTTTGGTCAACACCAACAGCTCCTTCCTTCTATGTGGGTGTCACCCCAATTTAGAAACATCTCTTTTTTAAATACTCTGCTGCCTACTAGAGTCATCTTGCATGTGTTTTTTATTTTTCTCTTCTTTTCTAAAAAAATATCTGGCTGCAGTGGATCATAGTTGTGACATGTGGAATGTTCTAGTTGCAGTATGCAAACTCTTAGTTGGGGTATGTAGGATCTAGCTCCCTGACAAGGGATTGAAACCAAGTCCCCCTGTGTTGGGAGGATGGAGTCTTAGCCACTGAACCACCGGGGAAGTCCCCAATGCATCTGTTCATCAGTCTTCCATTAGGTGTTCCTCAGAGTTATGGTCTGTGTTTGTGTCTTCTTTTTCCATTAGACTGCAAGTTTCTTGAGGGCAAGAGGCATTATTTATCCACTTCTGACTCCTCCATGAGGTCAGAACAGGGAATGGCTGCTCCGTGACTTGGCAGATTCAATTGAATTTCTAAATAATCTAAATGAAGTTCTCCCCTTGATGACAGATGAGGTTAACTGTGTGCATTTATGGGTTGGCTGTTGCCAGGAGACATGAGGCAATCACTTTCAACATGACTGTTTAGAAATGAAGCTGAAGGCAGCTGGATGCTGGAGAAGCCCTTTCTGGCAATTAGACTGGCAAGTAACCAAATCCCACAATGGCAGGTGGGAGGTCTCATCAGCTCTTACCCTGTGTCTCTGCCTGGCTTTGTTCCCAGGATAATGCCTGAGCAGAGGCGATACTGGGAAGCACATAAATTCAGAATGTGACCTCCAATTCAGGACAAAGAGGAAGGGAAGCCATATATCCTATCCGCTTCTGTGATGGGTCAGGGCTGCAGGTTGGGTAGGATCTCTGTGGCCCATGGGGTACAGACAGGGACAAAGCAGATTCTGCCTGCTTCTAGAGTGGCCAAAAGTTCTGCCATCACTTAGGTGATGATTTCATACAATGATGTGGCTCTTGCACAGTTTGTTTGCAAACTTTCTCTTGAAAAACACTGACTAAAAGCTAACTTGGTCCAGATCCTCTAGTTTCCTACTCTTGGCCCTCTTAGTTGTCAGAATCTGCATTCTTTCTTTTTATTCCAGGGAAATGCTCTCAGGTTTCTCGATTACAACCCTGGATGAAATAAGCTCTCCTGGGGGTTTGCATTTTTAATTCCTGGCAACAGCCATTAGAGAAAGGAATACAAGGACAGGGCAGCTTAACTTTTCTGGTGCCCTTGATATCACACCTCGGACTGGCTTCTTTTTTCACCTAATATGTATGTAGATATCTACTACAGTTCTTGGCACGTGGTGAAGGTTCAATAAATGTTTGTTGAACTTGATTCATAAGCCAAACAGACTTGATCAGTAAGCCTTCATGAAAAATCTAGTTACTATAGTATCAAAAGCAATGGGGAAAAAATGCTCTCTGACTCAACAGGCTAGACCAACTGACCAGTAAAAACAGGTAGAGAGGAAGGAATAATGGTGATAATATTAACAACAGTAGTAGTAACTCCCATTTTTTGAACGGCTACTATGTGCCAGGAACTTGATATATTTTTCACATCTGTTTCTCACACTTATTTCTCACAACAACCCTGTGAGGTTATTATGATGTTGGCCCAATGTCCACTTCAATCTGATTTTGTTTAGTAGTATGTACTAAACGTGTATTTTGTGCCAGTCAGGATACTAGGTATATATGCAAACACATACTCTGTCTATCTATGCAAACACATATTCTATCTATCTATCCATCCATTCAAACATCCATCTATCCATCCATTCTTCTACCATATTCACTGTCCAGTCCTCATTCAACATGCATGTTATTATTACTCCAATTTTGAAATGGAGAAACCACATTACAGAGAGGGACTCTCTCCAAGTCATGGAGCTGTGGGTTGAGATGAGAGCCAGGGTTTGAAGCAGGATTGGCTCAGTGTTCTCTTTCCACTTTGCCTTGCTATCTCATCCATAAGATTCTGGGATTTATGAAATTTTAATTAGCAAAATTATCTCACGAGTGAGAAAGTTGCACTTCTGCACCAGCTTCCATTGTCACCCCGGCTGCAGCTGGGCTGCT